ATTTTAATATCTCCTTATTTTTTCCCAGCTAAACTGCCAAAACAAATAAAAATTAAATTTAAACCAAAATGAAAATAAAAGCAAGCTACCATAATAAAGAAAAACAAAACAAACAAAAAAAAGAAAATCTCTTCTCCTTTTAACATAAGGCATTTAACAGAAATTGTGCTAAAAATTGTGCTTGGGTTTGGGGATGTTGTACAGAAAAGTACTACAATTCTTTTTATCTTGAGCTCGTCACAAAGGGTAGTGGTGGGTCAGACTCAAGAAATGCATTTACTGTTTCCTCTGAGTTTGTTAAGTGTGGTGGACAATTCGCCACCCAGCTGCAGTGGCTGGCTGCCTGATTGCCCATTCAAGGTAGATTCTAGTGCAATCTGTTAAAAAAGCTTGCCCGTGGTTGGTGAGTCTGATAAAGTTATTAAAAAAATTAGTTATCAGTCAGGTGAAAATGATGTCCAGAGTATATTCATTTAGTTATTTAATCAGAATTTGGTGCAAACATTCAGTCTTGGGTGTTAAAGGACACCTCAACCAGAACTGTGAGCAGAAGGTTATGCTTAGTTGCTTAATTCAGCTTGAAGGCAATGAGTATCCGTGGGCTTCTATGGCAAAGGATGGGGAGAAAGTAATGAAAACAAGAGAAATTGTGTTTCTTATTCATACCCTGCAAACCCAAATTAGCATTTTTTCAGTCTCAGTCTACATGGGGATTTGTTATTAACAACTGGAAAACAAATCTACTTGCTAGTGAGGTAGAAACAAACCAATGTTTATTTATACCCATTATAAATATTTTTATAGTATGTTCCTGGAAAGGACTACAGAGTTGAATTATCTGCCTCATACTCCAAAATTAGAATAGAAAGATAAACAGGACACCAAAGCACAGGAAATTCAGCATGCAAACAAGCAAAGAAGAACTGTGTTTCTGAGCTTTGCTTTAACCCCAATGCCGGCCAAATAAGTTGCACGATAACACTGGGAACAGCACAATGGCAGGATCCTACGGAGTCTGTACAATTTTTTTACCAATCTATGAATCCATTCTTTTTTCATTAAAAATTCAAGTGTCACTTCAGGAGCGATGTTCTGAAATGTGCAGTTTTGTCAGGGTTATGAACACTTGCAGCTATATGGTCTGGATATACGTGGTGTAATTCAGTCATTATCCTGTCCCGACACAGCTCACACTACATAGATTGACACTTGTAAGAGGTTTTAGCATGATGCTGCAAACAACGTGTTTATTTGGTGCTGAGATTGTTGATTGAGTACCTACTGCTGAGTGAACAAGTACATATTGCACGGTTGAGTAGCAGCAGACACACTAGGAAGAAATTAAATAATCCAATACCAAAGTCAGAGAGTTGTTCCAAGCAAAAACCTGCAAAGTGATGATGCTCTGAGGGTGGAGGAGGTGATAACAACGAGCCTAACTGCAGCCTCCAGAAAGCTCACTTAAAAAGAGCCAAGGAAGTGGCCTCCACGGGCTCCTGGTTCTTGACATCTTTGTGTTTGCAGGCACCAGGCTTCACTATGTGGTTGGAATAACACTGATCCCACACAAAATGGATAAACAAAAAAAACCCAATCAAAACAAAAGGCCAAATAAGCAATTTTAGTTTTCACATTTTGGCTTTAATTCTCTGTATTTTCAACTAGGGCATGAAAGGCAAAAATCCCAGATCTTGCTTTTCATGTTTTCATGCACCAAAGGTAAATGTTTGTGTGGGATTTAGCCGTTTACATTCCCAGCGTATTTCAGCTTCATTTATGAATGCATGCAACACACTCTGAAAGGCTGGGGAAGTCCTGAGAAGCCAAACTCCTCACAACCACAAAGATAAAACCATGGGAAAAAGTAGAAATTAAATAATTTTGTTGTGATCAGCAACCAAAAATCTTAAAAACTGAACAAAACTCTTGCTTCTGGAAAGCAGATATGAAGTATCTTTCAACATTTAAAAGACATCTTGGTGAGACTTGAAACGTCTCCTGCCTGAGAGTCAATCTTTTGGATGAGATTTATGGTTTTGGAAGGCTTCCAATTGATTTGACAAGCCTTTAGATCAGGTTGTGTGATTCAGCCTTAAATATTGCAAATAAAACACCTTTAAGAGCTCAGTATCTTTTGAATTTGGATTTATTTAACCTAGAAAAGTGAAAACTTAATGGAAAAAACATGAATCTTCAATGAGGTAAAATGCATCTAAAGAGAAAGAGGAGAAAATGACTCTCCATAGCCAGGAGGGAAAGGGCAAGGACTAATGTGCTTGACCAGCAACAGTGAAAATTGAGCATAGACATTGTGAAAAGCCTTTTTGACAGTGATGCTAATTTCTTTAATGAGTCTCATTAAGCATGAGAAGTGATTACCTAGGCAAGTTAGGGAAATGTCTGTTGGGAAGATGTTGGGCTGAGATGGTGGTGCTGAGGGTGCAGAAGGAAGCTCCAGCTAACGTGGTTTTGATGCTCTGGGTGAGCAGAAGTGCTGTGGCCCAGGAGGAGGTGGGACGGGGTGGCTGGCGCGGAGGATGGAGGCAGCAGCAGGGACATAGTGGCTGTGTGGGAAACTGGCTGTGGTGTTCATGGGGACAAGTGCCACAACGTGGAGCAAGAAAGAGACGAGCGCTATAGCAAGGATCTCAGGAGCAGGAGATGGGTGTCACGAGGAGGCAACAGAAATGGGAGGAGAGAAAAGTGCAACAGTAAAACGTTTGGGGAACTTTTTCTAGACTTCTCAGGGCATGATTTCTCTGCTCTGTTGCTTCTCAGCTTTACAAATATATCTATCATCACTGAGAAACCAAGGAGTCTGTGAGGTTTGGACTCTTGTTTTAACTTTGCTGATAGATTTTTACTATTTTTTTTACCTACCCTTTTTGCAGTTTAACTCCAGTAAAATGCCTTGCTGTAGTCACACACGCAGAGATGTGCCCAACAGTTGTACAAGACAGAGATACCCCACACCTCTTCGCAGCAGTATGTAGAAGCATTTCAAAAGACAACCGATGGACAGAAAGTTAAATACTGGAGGGAAAGCTTTCTTTCCACTAACAAGGAGAAACGCGCTGGCTGTAGAGGACAGTTAATCCCCACTGGCATGCAGAAGAAGCTCCTGAAGTCCTCACCTTTGGGGGCACTGTGGGAAGAGCAGCAGATGTGGGCCCTGCTTGGATGGGAGAGGATGCTCAGGGACTCAGTCAGCCATCTGCTTTGGAGGGAACACAGGGATGGGGAAATGTGGATGGACAGGTCCTTAGAAGTCCCCTGAACAATGCGGGTCGTTTTGCTCTTGTTTGTGACAAGCAGGAGAAAGTAATAGAAAGCAAAAGAAAAAGGATTTCTAAATCAAGAGTCAGCAATTTGGCTTCCCAGGGACAGATATTTTCTGTAAATTTGCATGTGCAGAAAGAAAAAGAATGAGCTCATTCCTTTTAAAGCCTTCCTTAAATTCCCACATTAAGATGGGTTGGACTCGATGATCTCTAAGGTCTTTTCCAACCTAGAAATCTAGAAATCTATGAAGATATTTAGAAATTCCCCATGTAGTATTTCAGCAGCAGGGGCTCAGTCCATCACTTGGTGAATTTTTAATCCGACAGACCACACTCTTCAACACAGTAAAACATTTGTTTGTATTTTAATCACAGAGACATTAATTTGAAAGGCAAACTAGAATTACTCCTTTGTAAACATTCCTTCCTTTCATTTTAAATTATACTACTCACATAACCGATTACTCTAGCTTGGAGATCTCTGCATTGTTTAAATCAGCTCAGCTCTATTATTGTTTCATTGAGAAATTTAGCATTAAAAGCATGCTCAAAATCAGTAGAATATTGTACAACCACAATTCCAAATGCCATGGTAAGATCAATTTTCACATTTCCTTTCCAGGCATGACCTATTACTTCTCCCCAAATTAAATCTTCCTCCCTTTAATAAACCTTGAAATATTTATTGGTACCTTGTTTGTGTTTTCTCTCCAGCTCATGAAAGGCATTAGATCAACGGTCTTAGAAGGATGTGAGAATTAAAGAGGAGAAAAATGATAAAATGATTGTACCAAACAACTTGTGAGATGAATGTTGAATTTATTTCTTAATCATTTAATAGATGTTAGGATTACGAAGTTATTTTAAAACATTGTAACAGGCTAGGATTCATTGGAGATAAAGACATCACAGCTTCTTACAAATGGCAAATACGTGACTGTCATCAGTGACGTTTGCCCCGTAATCCTTTAGCAGATGTTGCTGACCTTCCATCTCACATTATCCCACGCGAGAGCGGTTTCTTCAGTGCAGGTCTTGCGAGAAAACCAGCAAGAACGAAAACGACAACTGCCAGGATGGCAACGGCAGCAACGAGCGGAGCGAGGGGGTTGTCAGCAGCAGTGGGAACCGCCTGGGGAGGGGGTGCAGAAGAGTCCAGCCCTGCGAGCGAAGGCAGAGGGGGTTTGATCTTGATGTATTAAAGATCACGGCACAAAGGGCTGATGCATTAAAAGGGATGGTTCCTAGATGAGAGTCAGAAATAACCCAACTTACAGTTTCATTGCTTTAAATTATTTGAACAGGCTTTATGTTAGCCGGGATGGCAACTTAACTAAGCAAACTGCATGAGTAGAAGACAACTGAAAGAACTGAATGTTTCTCAGGAAGGCTGAGAATTTACTCCCAGCTGGCCATCATTTACACAATCAGATGGGAGCTAATTAGTTCAATGGAGTTACAGCACTAAGACGGGTTACACTAATTCCTTTGGGACAGCCAAAGAAGTTAGAGCTTTTACACATGCAGGTAAAAACAGGAGGTTTGCAAGCTGTTGAAAGAAGAAGAGACATTTAGATGAGCCAAACAATCCCTTCCTTTTTATAATGAAGTTAGCAAAAGCAGATTTCAGCGACAGGCGTCAGAAAGGCAGAGCTTTGGCTTTTCATGAATCCTTAGGCAGTTTCAGAGTAAATACGAGAGATATTTATACGACTTTACCAGTATTCCTACTCTGAGCACCTCCTTGTCGAAGCTGAAGCGGTCCGACCACCACGCTCGCTTTTTCCTCGGCAGAACTCGTGTCTCTCTTGGACCTGCTGGCACAGCCCCGGTAGCAGCGGGAGGAATAGTCGTGGAGCCTGCACACCACCAGCTCGCACCGCAGGTACACCGACGCGTGGCGGCTGATGAACTCAAAGGCATTAAACTTGAACCGGGCGAAGTGGCTGTAGGGGGAGTTGTAAGTGACGTAGGAAGAATCTCTAACGCATCTAGAGAGAAACCGAAAGAGAGAGTTAGTGTTCGTGGAGTCACACACGTACATTCCTGCAAAAGTACAATAGGTTAAAACAAATTTATATCATAGCAGGTGTGAAGAACACAAAAGGATAAAAACGCAAATTTATGGTATAATGAAGTCCTGTGAAGCAGTTAGAACATTGACTACTCTTTTTTTTTTTTCCAATAGAAGGAGACTGTAAGTAGTGAAGAGGGGAAAACAGACTCATTAATGTTGGTGCTGTACGAGGCATTAAAAAATGGATCTAACGCTTGACCTAGTTTTACTAAAATATTTTTTTCCTGCTGCCAGTTTTCACTATCTCATCTACCTCACTCCCACTACTTAGAGTTTTGCGTGTAGGTCAAGGATGAAGTAAGAGAAATGAAGTGCTAGTAAGGTTTGAATGTCATTTCTTATTTCCAGGCTCATACTGTAAAAATTAAAAAAATCAAAGACCCCTTCTAACAGTCTGTTGATAATGAGATCTGAACCAATTCGCATTGGCTTTATTCTTTAAACAAATGCAGAAAGGGTATTACAGCTATGCTTCTAATGACTTGAAAAAGCTCTTACCCATCCTTGATTATATCATAGGCCAGAGTGTTGAAATCACGAGGATCAGGTGATGCCACACATGTGTCGACAAACACCATCAGATTTGGGTCAGAACTGTGAAGATAAGCTTGAAGGTACAAATTTTGGTTCAAGTCAATGTAGTATGGAGATTCTTGCACTTGCCGCAAGAATGATGAGGAATCATAAAAAGTGATGTTCACGTCATATCTTCCAAACTGATTTTCATTCACATCTATAGTATCTTCAGCCACATACATGATTTGCATCCATGTGTTCTGTAGCATTTTGCAGCTGACGTGTAAATTAATATTCTTTTTCCTCCTGATTATGTGCCCAGAAGATGTAACTTTGATCGTGTTGGAATAGTTGATTGTATCATTGTTCTCCTGTTTAACACGTAATTTAAAGTGAGGAATTGCATTTTTGTCGTATTCTAAGATTTGATAGAGTAATATGCAATTTAGAAATGTAGATTCATCTTAAACTCTCAACCAAAAAGCTTGATGTTGGTCTTTCCTGCTCACACATTGTAAATAAACTTGCTGAAGTGTGTAATTAAACAGAAATCAGTGGAGAAAAACTCTTTTTTAAAACCAGGGCAGACCCAACTTATTGAACATCAGCACATAACAATTGAGTCATGCCCATTCCTCCCAGGTCTCCATGACACTTAAACACTACGTCTACTTTAAATCACAGGAGGTTCATGTGGCTTCCTCCCATGCCTTCCTCCTTGGAAGCTCATTTCTATTAAGCATGATGATTCCCAGAGGCATGGAAAGCTAAAAACCTCCGGGTCTCTTTGGTTCACTTAGCACTGTGGACCACAACGGCCCTTCCATGACTTTTTTCAAAGCAGGTCCTGTAATTCAGTGCCCACAACGGGAAGCGTACCTCTCGTATCGTCCCACAGCCGTCGTAGGGAATGTTGAATATAACCTGGTGTGATGTGACTGTTGGTTCACAGCGACCGTCGTTCAGGGTGACCATCGGTGCCGAGTAGCCTTGAGACTGGAGATAGTCTCTGCTAACCACCGCTCGCATGTAGTCTGGCAAGCACAGAAGGGCTGGCAGAAGAAGATACATATTAGTGACTTTAGGAATTTTTTTAATGTTTAAAGGTTGTAACTGAACCAAGTGCCGTATTTTTTCTTCATTTAGAAGGTAGGCAGTTCATGCACCGACCTGTCATATTTCATCCACATCATTTCTCCCTAACATCTTCAAATACACACAAATATTTATTTTGCAAACAAAAGCAATAAACAGGCTTGTCTGTTGAAAAACTCCGACCGGGAACTTACTAGTGTTGTGATCTGCTGGAATGGAGGAGTAGTGAGCCTGAAATCCTCGGAAAGCGTCTCTAGAATCGCTGCGAAAGCGGACGGTCATCATGTTTGAAGAGGATACGTACGTGGGAAAGGAACCAGAACAAAGTCTCCCAAGAAGCAGGGAAGAGTGTGGAGGCCCGTCATAGACTTCGACATAGTCATGCTGGCATCTGCCGCTTTGCATCCTGGCGAACAAATGTCAGCACTTTGTCAAATACATTTCAGAAACTCTGATTTAACTGCCTAACGTGATAAAATCTTTCAGTACTTCAAGTTTTCACGGCAGAGGTTTTATTCATTTTGTACGTAGCTGGAGCAGAAAATCGTGAGCAGAAAATACTACAGTAATTCAGATTTTATTCTGGTCTTCCAACTGCTGGATGTCTTTAAAATTGAGAAGGTTGCTTGTTTCAAATAAGTTTTCAAACTTCTCAAGTAGGTTTTGAGTTTGTTGTTTGCCCGGGAAATCAAAGCTTTACTTACGCAATGTCTCTAAATGTGAGCATAACGCGGAAATTGTTCTCTACTTGTATTTCCCACACGCAGTCAGCGTTGTTTGGATAACTTCCAGGGTAGAAGGGACTCTGCAGCACCCCAGAGGAATTTGAGAGTGAGCCACCACAAAAATAAGTTGCTGCAGAAAGAAATGGAAAAAGAATTTACTTACAGTAATCTCTACAAAATTGGTGCTTGAGCTGTACGTGTCTCATCTGCAGGTGCTGAAAAACAGGTCTCCCGCTGACTGCAGGTGATGTTCCGCATGAGCCAAATCGAAACAAATATTTGGTTTTTGCTTTAGGTTTGCTTCCTTGTTGGATTTGGGATCCTCTGTCACTTCCATGGTGTCAGACCACCCTCTTCAGGCTGGGCTGGTAACACCTTGATGCTTTCTGCTCTGGTCTCTCTGCACTTGAGGTCTGATGCTGGGAGGTGTCATGACAGTCAAAATGGAAGTACCGTCCTGAACAAACAGCATTCCTATCCTCTGCTGCTTCTCTTTATTCCCCTAAGGACTTTGGAGGATAAATAAGTTGCAAGTCTTTTAGGAAACTTTGTACTTTTATGGTCTTAGACTGAAATAAGCACTCCAGGCTGCTGGGCCAAGTCTTAAATATATCTCATTTCTCCTCTAAGCAGACCTGCAAAAAGCTTTCATGTTCCTGCCAGCATGAACGATATTTAATTCTTATGTTAAACACACAGATAATCCTAAAAGTTTCCTTATAGGAAGGAAAGCACAAGCTCTGAACTTAATTCCTATAAGATGTGACAACGAAAGGAAACAACCCCCCATTGTATATGCCTGCACAGGGACACCTGGCAGTGCACCACGCTCCTCCCCGCCTCAGGATTTTGGGATTCTTGGGCTATTCCAAGGTTGGGAGCATCAGCTGTACTGAGGCACTGCCTCTTCCTCTGGTCAGACTGGACAGGCTCTCGGGCACCTTCACTTTCATACTATTTTCTATGGTGAATGGTTGAGCTCCAAATCTAAAATTTGCTTTCTATGGCAAAACCAGGGGGCTGAAGACCGTAACAGCTCTAGTACGCAGAAGACCTGAAAATTACACATTGAAGTACTTGAACACCACCCTGCCAGTGCTGAGGTACGTGGTCAGAAGTTAGAGATTTAGACAACACTTCCCAAGCTTTGAGCCTGCTGAAGAGCCAGTGAGGAAAAGACTTGGCCACAGCCAACCAGCATGACTGCAAAATAGGCATCACTGAAATGCAAGGGGATATCACAGCCTGGCTAGGAATTATCATGCAAATTTAAAGTGTTATTGCCATAGAAGTGAAAACTAAATTAAAGAAAGCCCAACAGGGAGATAGCCCACGAATAAGACAGAGGAGAGGTGCCACAAAAGAGCATTACCTGATGGAGGTGTCGGGGTGGCCAGAGCAGCTGTAAGTGTGGAAGAAGAAGAGCCACAAGTGAGATGTCTTGTTCAGTAGAGGCACAGACACGGCCCCACCTTGGGGTATAGGGTACCACGACGGCGATCGCGACGAAAACGGGATGGGGACACAGGAGACCAGGAACTCCACTGTAGAGCTGGTGGCCTCTGCTACCCACGCACCTGCACAGATGACACTGGCGTCCTCTATGTGCCTGCAGTTGTGCACACCCCAGCCATTGTGCCTGCACATCTGGAGGGAGGGCTCGTCCCCACTGCACTGCACGTCATCCAGGAAGATGGTCCCAGAGCCAACGCCGAAGTGTGCGTTGCCCGGGGCGGCCCCGGGCTGGCCGCAGCCCAGCTGCTGGCACACCACCTGGGCATCACGCAGGTCCCACAAGTCGTCACACACCGTCCCCCAGCTGTTGCCATTGTACACCTCCCGCGGCCCCCCCCAGCCGTTCCTCCCGCCGGACAGCCGCAGGCTGGCACCTGGGACATGGCATGTGGCACTGGGTTAGGGTCCTTCCAGTCCAGCACCTGATGCTCCCACCTCCCCGTTTCTTTTGGAGTTTTGGCCACAGTGACCATGAGCTGGGTCAGTGCAGACCTGAAGGGACCAGGGGTGGACAGTGACGGCGCAAAGTCCCTGGGTGTGCAGAAGGCAGATGCACAATGAGCACAGATCTGCTGGGAGGCCCATGGGAGATGCCTGGGGGTTCTCGGGGCTGGCTGGGCTACTGAGGCATTTGCAGAAAAATCCTTTGCACGCCTTAGCTGTGGCCCATCTCCTGAGGAGGACCACTCATGCACCCTGGAGATGTTTGAGTTCATGGGACCTGACAGGGTGCCTGCAAGGGTACTGGCCATCTTGGCTTGATGATTGCAAAGCCACCACCATGTCCTGGCATCAGAGCAGCAGCCTGTTTCCTGGGCTGCCCCATAAGGCATATGGGATTGAGGGAATGGCTTACTCTCATCCACATGGCACCTGCTGCCCCACAGCTGGGGGTCGTGGGGTGGCTGGCAGGGCAGGGCTGCAGTCACCACTGCAGCCACCTTTCTACAGTGACTTAGCTCCTCCCTGGTAGCAGCCCCCAAAACACATGACATGTTGTTGCGGGCAGAAGAGAGCAGCAGCACTGCACTGGGCAGGCTCAGGTCAGCATGTCCCCTCTCCTCTCATGCCAGGATATGGGCTCGCCTCGCTGCAAGGCTGGGAACAAGCTGGGTGGGCATGAGTTACCTGTTCAGGAGGGGTTGGATGTGTTAGATGTGCAGCTGCAAGGAAGAAGATGAGGCTTTGAGAAACTTGGTCCAGTGGAAGGTGAACCTGTCCATGGCAGGAGGGTTGGAACTAGATGATCTTTAAGGTCCCTTCCAACCCAAATCATTCTATGATTCTATAAGATGGGTTGAATGAAAGGGCAGCTAATGCAGCAGGCTCTTGGTAATGGCCATGGCAATGGCAGTGAAGCTCTCCCCTACCATCCCCCATCCAGACACCAGCCTGACATGTTGCCAGTGCTGCCCCATCTTCCCCATGCTGTGATCCCACAATCCTACTCTCTGCCC